GCGGGTGCAAGGCTGTGCCGCATGGCTGGTGACCCTGGTAGGAATGCTCTGGTTGTGTCAGGAACCAGCCGTGTTCTGCCTTCAGCCTGTGAGGCAGAGCCCTTGAGTGATGCTGTGCTGCAGGTTTAGGAGGTCTGGCCCCGGCTGCGGTCTTCCCTCTTGCTCTCCTCGGAGGGCTGGAGCCCCTCTGCTATGACGAAAGGCTGCAAGAATTGGGCTTGTTCAGCCTGGAGCAGAGGAGGCTCCGAGGAGACCTCATTGCAGCCTTCCAGTATCTGAAGGGGCTACAAGGGTGCTGGGAGAGGACTTTTTACAAGAGCTTGTAGTGACAGGACAAGGGGTAATGGGTACCAATTGAAATCAGGGAGGTTTAGATTAGATATCAGGAAGAAATTCTTCACAGAGAGGGTGGGGAGGCACTGGAACAGGTTGCCCAGAGATGTTGTGGATGGCCCATCCCTGGATGTCTTCAAGGCCAGGCTGGATGAGGCTTGGAGCAACCTGGTCTAGTGCAAGGTGTCCCTGCCCATGGCAGGGGGGTTGGAACTCGATGATCTTTAAGGTCCCTTCCAACCCTAACCATTCTATGATTCTATGATTCCATAAACCTGGGCGCATCCAGCTGAGGCTATGGGAACCTCATCCATGGGGACTGAAGGTGTTATCTCTCATCTCCATCCTCATTTGGACCTTGTGCTTCTCCTGACGTATACCATGAGAAGTTCTAGCGAAGGAAAAACATCCTGCCCAGGGATATTGGCAGAGGGAGTGAGGATCTAACAAGCAAATAAAAAAGCCTGCACGTACTGTGAAAGTGCTGGTATTTGTGATTCCCTTTCAGGGGGTGGTTTCGGTCCACCATACACCTGAGCATTGTGTTATTCTTCAGGTCTGCTCCATGTTCCATAGCCACTGACCAGTGTGGTATTTACTGCTCTATGCAGGTAAATAAAATGCTGCGTTTAGGGGTGGAGAAAGGGATGGTGAGACCAACTGAAATACTTGACAAGGTGCTTATTTTTTTTTAAAAATAAAGCAAATCACCCTTTTTCTCCTGCTCCCTCAGTGCTTGCCTTGCAGTGGGGCTCTTACGGAGATGGATCCAAAGGGCAGGAACTGTAGCTGCAAGATCTGGATTCCCACTGGCTTTTAGTATTGACCTTTATGCAAACAGCACCTATAAACCCAGCTTTTTGCAGGGTACCAAGGCACTTATATTTATGGAGAGGGTGCATTTATCTTGCTGAAGGTTTCATGGAAACACACGGGGCTGTTCTTTATTTACTTAGTTATTTATTCTTTCCTCTCTAGGCTTCTGGGCCGATCGAACACCCGTTCATGAAGCAGCCAGGCGGGGAGAAATCCTGCAGTTGCAGCAGCTGATAGAGAGCGGAGCCTGCGTCAACGCGGTCACCTACGACTCTATCACCCCCTTGCACGAGGCGAGCCTGCGAGGGCAAACGCAGTGTGTCAAGCTTCTTCTGGCTGCAGGGGCCCAGGTGTGTATTCGGGTCTGATCCAGCTGGGAACTTCATCTCCATGTGTGAAGTTATTTCTGGGATCTGGATTCTCCCCATGTAGCTCTAGGTTCTTCTTCATCACTCCGGGTTTGCTTGGCAGTCAGCAGAGGATGGCAGGCCTCTTCAGACGGTGTTTGAGCCTGATGAGGCCTTAAAAAACTGCCTGGTAGTATTTCTCTCTGCCTTTCCCCCTCTCTCCTCACTGACTGTTAACAGAGCCTGTGGTGACCAGAAATCTAATTTAGGTGGCTCAAGTATTTAGATACTTGGAGCTGGGTTGAATCAAGGGGGCAGAAGGGGAGCAGGGAACACCTAGCTTCCAGAGGGGATTTATATTTATCCTTTTGTTTCTTCTATTTATTTAATTTCATTATGGAAACAAAAATCAGCTAAACAGAGTCTTTGGAGATAGCTGGTGAGGACAGTCTTCAAGGGCTTGTGGCTTCTCACACGCTGAAGACAGCCGTCCTTGGGGCAAAGCCGGTAAAGTGTGCCCTCCGTGGTGCTTCTCGGTGCAGTCGGCCAGCCTGGCTGAGTCTGCTGATGAAGCTTTGCACTGAAGCAAAGAGGGGTTGTGTTGTGTTACTTGGCTGCAA